AATGTGGCAATCTGTAGGAAAGGTCATGTTCTCAGACCTAATTAAGAAAATCAGAAGAGGCAAATGACAGCAATGAGAAGTCCTAATAATGACCTGACAGGGCTGCCACGTTACTGCAGATGGGCAGAGCCGGGGTGCGGCATGGCTGACTTCAGCATCAAATGTCAAGAAAGAAGGTAGTGCTTTCCACCCTCTTGCCTCACTTATGGTAGTGATAAATTTGGTTCATTGCCTCCTTTTTGGAATAAATAATTTATTTTTTTGGGTCTGTTTCATTCTCTCTCTTTTAATGGTTAGCTTTTAGTCTCCTGCATCTCCCTTTAATTAAGATGAAGCCTGAACTTTAGCAGTTTCATATGAGAGGAAAGTGCTGAAAAACTTTGTGCTGATATTGAATCTTTCTCTTTTTAAAAATAGATAGTAAGTAGGAAGTAAATTATCCTTCCTTTGAGCCTAGAAAAAAAAAATCTTAATGCTTGGGTTAAGTGCATTTTCTTTCTGTGCATGTAGAAAGTGAATAATGGCCTAAAAACTAAGTACATGCAGATTGAATCTTTTACTAAAGTACTAGTGTTACTGCAGCTGTAGGAGGTGAACATTGCATTTTAGTTCTTTTCTAAAGTTGTTCATCCTACATCTTGTTTGGAAGGGAAAATGGATCATTCCTTGTTTTTAATTTTTTTTTTGAGAGGAGGGCGACTGCACTTAATTTTTATTGCTGTTCTTCAAACGATTTGTATTTTGCTTTTTCTTGGTGAAATTTTATTATTAAATGAATTGAGTTTAGTTTAATTTTGCATGGCAAATGAACAGCAGCAGCTGGTTTTTATTTGCACAAAATACTATAGTATCTACTGTTACTGTTCTTGAGGACCATAATGACAGAAGTAACAATAATTACTCTGCTTACAGCCATTCCCTCGTGTTTTGAAAACACCGTGTATCTATCTCTTTTTCTGGATATGGAAGTAATGGCACAAATCTTATGTTGTCTGATGCAGAGCTAGAGCCAAAGCATGGATATCCTGGGTCTCATGTTTGGAAAGAAGCTTACTTAATGGCTGAGATAGCAGTGTGAGACAAGGAGTGCACTGACAGTAGATCTTGCAGAAAAGCAGAAGATAGAGAAGAAAACCTGTGTAAAAGTGCACAGTCTATAATGAGTAGGTGTAATTAATGCCAAATTATACATGGAAATTTACTTTTGGCAGTATTTCATGGGTAAAATTATTAAGCATTTTCTTCAAATGTAAAATGCAGGTCCTGCTTTCCTCTAGGACTGAGACTGGTTTGATTTTCTGTTGTGTTTAGGGTGCAGTTCCCCTCTCAAAGACTGAGTAGGAGGAGTGAAGGGGGAGTGGTTGTGTTTATTATTTTAAGGGCTTTTGACATTCAAGTTTACTCCATCAGTGACTAGACAGTATTTCTTCCGAGTCTCAGTGCTTTGAGCTTGCCCTTTGGTTTGGAGGAGACTCGCTACACTGTCTTCCATTTGTATACATCAGCCATCACTGGCAGTGAAAGTAAACTTGCCAACCTATGAAATATTTATTGACATCTCCATGAAGGTATCAGCAGTAGAATTTTTTTAGTGCCATTCAGTTAAACTTCATACAATTTGAAATACATTTGTGTGTGAAATTCAGCATTTTCTGAATACTTTGCTAAGTGCTGCACATTTATGTAAGTTCTCTTTGGAACAAAAATATAATACAAATGTACTCTGTGTCTACTCTGACCATGTACCAGATTTCTTAGCTTTTGCAAAGCTCCAAGGGAAAGTTTCTCTTGGATACAGTACTAATAGTTGCAACTGTGTCAGAGTAAGTCAGACACAGGTAGGTCTTACATATGGGATGTTACATAATCCTGTCTTTTCCTTGACTGCCACATAGACATTCCTTACGGTGGTCCTTTAGAACAGAGCATCTAGGGGTGCCTGTCTGGGACCTGTAGTGCAATTTCTAGCTCTTTATGAACGGAGGTTCATCTATGTCCTTTGGGAAGAAGGACATCTGGGTGTCTTTTCGTCTGCCTCTCAAAGCTGGTAGGAGTAGCAGAGCTAAGAAGGTGTGACACACATCAAGAAAAGTAAATTGAGTTCAGGCTCCCTTGCGTGACATCGTGGAACCATCTCTATGATGAAAGCATAAAAATAATCTGTACTGATAAGAGCATTAAAATGGACAGTAATCTGAAAGTATAGTTTTATTTTGGAGAGTGGTAATCTAAAATTGTCCATTTTGAATCCAGCAGATCTATTCTATTGAATAATATATTAAAATATAACTTGGTAAATCTAGTGTCAAAAAGTACTGTTTTAAAGTATTGGAGAATCATCTGTATTTTTTCTACTTTATCATCTATGAAGCAGTCTATTAAGTTTCCCTTGTTTACACCTATTTGAAATTTTGTCACTTAGAAATTTTTGAGAGTTCTATGAACAATCGTATCCCTGGGCATGTGTTGCTCTTGATATTGATCCATTTAAAATAGACAAATCCTTTCCTCTGAGGAAATAGAAGTGAAAATACTGTTAATGCTGAAATAAAAATAATTTTTTTAATATAGCTTTTTCTGTACTTTTACAGTCTTATTGGCAATGCAGTCAGATGAAGTATTATGAAGTAATTTGAATATTAATTGCACCTTTCAGTGCAACCAAATCAAGTATATATTTTCCGCAAATATGCAAGTTCTTTTTGTGCAAAAAGCCCAATTCTCTCAATCTCTCTGATCAGAATTTGGTAGAATCACTTTCTCCTAAATGATGCAGTTCAATCCCATTTTAAATATTTTTAAGAAATTTTTTAAAGTACATTTCACAAGGCAAATTAAGATAAGAGTACCCTGAAAACAATGTAGTTTGCCTTGAATGTTTTAACTCTAATTTTGCATATTTTATTTTGTATTCCCTTTCATGATTTTTTTTCTTTCTCCAGATATTTCTAGTCCTCAACTTTTTTTGAGTGTGTGTGTGTTTTGTTTTGTTGGGTTTTGTTTGTTTGTTTTTATTAATTGAGAATTACCCTAATTCGAAACTCTTAAGTCTTTCCTGAATCATTATTATTTTTTGCCTTTGGTAGGACTCTCATTGACAAACAGCATTCTTTTTTTTTAATCACAGGGATGAGTTTTATTTGAAGAACAGGTTTTGCACCACTATTTTTGAACAAAAATAAAACTGTTCTTTCAAATGTTGGGATAGAGAAGTTTCTGTCCTTTCCTGAGACTTTGAAGCACTGTGTGATTAAAAAGCTTGGTTTTGAGACTGAAGCTAAAAGCAGAGATTTAAATTGCTAGAGACCTCTCAAAATATAAAAAATTACTGTTTTACTGTTGAAGTTTGTAAAAAGGAAAAGGAGAAATGGGCATCGCTCTTAAGCAAAAAAACCAGAAGATTGTGTTATGTCAGAATATTTAGAATGCAGAGACTATATGTGCTTGTCACTCAGGGACTTGCATATCCAATTCTAAAATATGGTTATAATTTATAATGTTTTGTATTTTCCCCTTTGCTTTTCCTCTCCATACTGAGTGTTCAGAAATACCTGCTTTCCCTCACCTGGAAATTAAGGCCTTTGTGTTGTATTCTCTGAACTGGCACAGAGGCTTTGCTCCAATGTTTACAAAACAAAGCTGTGTATGCAATGAATGCGAAATGGAAATTAACTTTGTGTAGCAATTTTTGCATCAGTGACTTGAAAAGTTTGGCACAAATAGTCATGAAAAGAATAGTTCACTTGCTCTCTTCTAGATCTCTGCAAATATAAAGGAAGGCTGCTTTTTTCTCTCTCTTTTTTTTTTTTCTTTCTGTCTTTTTTACTTCCCTTCTCCTGGTTGTGTTACATCTTGTCCAGATACTTAATAGAAATTGATAGTGTGTTCCCAGGTAACAAATTACATCTGTCTCTGAAAATGAGTCAACGTAATCATGACAAATTCATGAAATAAATGGGAAATATATTGCTACAGTCCTGGGGAACATGAGTCAATATGCTTTATGTAATTATTTAATAAAACATCTCTTCTAGTGCATTGAAACAGCCTAAGATACTGAAGCAGTTGTATTTATGCAGGAATAAACAAACTTCCAGTAAAAGCTGGTGACCAGAAGTATGCAATTATGCATTTCCAGAAATACTCATTAAACCAGTCTGTTTAAATTTTAATCAGACTTCCATGTATGAAACAGTATTGGTAAGAGGAAGTAGGAAAAAAAAAAAAAAGGATTCTTATGAAAGGCTGTTCAGATGCTTCTCATACCCCAAATGGCTTTGAATTTTTTAATTTAACTTCTTGTGCAAATCTGTATAAAAGTTAACAATACAAAATCCTACATGCTGGCTTAATTCTGTTTTATGGGAGCCATGTTATTATCAGCACAGAAATGCTGCATTGATACCAAAGCTGCCATTAAAAGGATTTGATTCGGGGATTATTGAGACATTTGAAATAGTTAAGCTTTGTGTAGTCAACGTGAGAAATGTCAAAGGGCTGATTATCAGTGTATGAATTCTTATAGGAAAGTGAAGTCGTAGGAAATGCATTGTTACACTGAAAAATTACAAATTGCCAGGTACTTGCAGTATTTTTTGGCCTTCCCTATTTATCTTTCTGGTACATCTAAGCTAAATATTTCAATCTGTGTTTTATCTGAGACTTTATATCTGATGTGCTGCATAGGAAAGCACAAGTGGATGTGCAAAAGACGACCTGTGCTTCGAAGTTTTTACAAATGTATTTGTAAACTTATTCAAATAACCTGCAAAGGGAATTAAGAGAGTAACTCACAAAATGTTAGTGGATGAAGACAAGAGCACCTATATGCATCCCTGGAAAGGGTCAATAACCTTTTTGTATTTCACAATCTCTGTTTTCAGGTGTTACCTCGTGACCACCTGTTCTTTACGGATCACCTTGTGCCTTGGGAAACCGCAGTTATGAATACTGTTGCTTTCATGTTAAATTCTAATGGTCACTGTGCTTTATCCTTCCAGGGCATCAGCAGCCTCTTCAGTTCCCTTAAAGTGGTCAGGCTACTTCGGCTGGGTCGTGTAGCTCGGAAGTTGGACCACTACATTGAGTACGGAGCAGCAGTCTTGGTTCTGCTGGTGTGTGTGTTTGGTCTTGCTGCACACTGGCTGGCCTGCATCTGGTACAGCATCGGAGACTATGAAGTTATCGATGAGGATACGAACACCATCCGAACGGAGAGCTGGCTCTATCAGCTGGGGGCGTCAATAGGAACTCCCTACCGCTTTAACACATCCGGCTTTGGCAAATGGGAAGGCGGACCAAGCAAAGATTCGGTCTACATCTCCTCCTTGTATTTTACAATGACCAGCCTCACCAGTGTTGGATTTGGGAACATCGCTCCGACTACGGATGGGGAGAAGATCTTTGCTGTTGCTATGATGATGATTGGCTGTAAGTATTAGAGATTCTCGCTCTCTCACACGCAGTGCCAAAGAGCTGCATCTCATGAATACCGATTTCATAGGAACATCTGGAATCGTGGCAAATATTATGCAGCTAAAAATATTTTTGGTGGCAATATGGGTATTACACACTTTCTTACTAATTAGTTTTAAATCTCAAGTAGGAGTATTGTTGTGATAATCAAAAATTCAGTTATTTTGGAAGGCATATTCTGTCCATATCCTTTCAATGTTCTCTTGTAAGTAAACCATAAAATGTTTAAAGCTTGAACTGTTAAAAATTAATACACCAACCTTTGTGCCTAAATTTTCTATGTGGCAAAACCTTTGTATGTTTAAGAAGTGTATATATTGGATAAACGGGTTGGTGTGTGAGAGGAGGTCAGGGAGCATCATCTTTTCAGGGAGAGAGAACAAGGGCTCTCTAGAAAACACAAACTCCACTGTGAGCTGACCATACAGACAGATCCTAAAGCAATTGGGATGATGCTGTCCTTGGGCACCTCTGGCTCACATTTCCTTATTATAATGGATACATATTGCCAAGCTGTCCAGCTTTTGGCCATATTGTCATTTCAGTGCAGATATGCACTCAAAATGCCTTGAGAGCTACTTGGAGTTAAGAACCATATAGTGGCCACTGCTAAACTAGGTCATGTTTTTCTAGATAAGGGTGGAATTGTAACGAAAATAAGGAGAAAAAAAAAATCTGCTTTGTCCATGGAAGAGATTATCATTATATGGACAAAGACAGAAGCTTCTGTATGGTAATATTCCATCTAGAGGAGGAGAAAGTCAATCCTTGCTATGCAGGGAATTAAACCCATATATATAATGAAACTCAATAAGCAACACAATGCCTGTTGTAGAAATGTGAACCTTTGGTTGTGATGTGTCATTTTACAGCAACACTGAAGTTATGTACTGAGATGATGTGTGCAGTGCTAAGCAGGCTGAAGGTTAGTGAGAAGAAGTATAAAGACAAGCATCCTTGATTGCATAGGGGTTGGGATATTTTAGCTCTGAAAATTGCCAATTTTGTTGGTCTAGCTTTTTCCAGTGCCTAGAGTGCCATCATCCTAACAAAACACTCCTATAGCAGAAATCTCTATAAAACATGGATAAAATTGTGCAGTTTGCTCATGAGAAGGTGCATTAGACAATGTAGCGATGTAGTAAAAAACAGGCTTCTAAATATATTTCCTGATGAAGGTACCAGTTTAATAGGAAATATCCTGATCTTTGGTGTATTGTTCATTGGGTTATGACCATGACACTAACTACAACAAGAATAGCTAGTTTTATGAAGTATTGTTATTTAGTACTATGAATACTGAATGAACATAACCTTCATAAAGTCACAAGTAAAAATGGGAGTATTTTGGAGTTATACCTGTCCCAAACTCTTCATATGACAATGTGGCAGAAAGAAACTGAATTTATGCATAATTAGTGTTGATAGATATCTGCTTTGAATTCTTTTGACTTCTGTAACCTTACATTTCTAACACTGTAACTGTCTGTGTATCTGAACACCTTTATCCTGTGGACAACTACGTGGAAACCATTAGGACTATTCACAATATGCATTTGCAGGAATGACAACTAAGTGATCCAATCTTTGTGTTTACCTCTCTGGAGTTTGTAGGGTCTTGATTTCCTTCAACATTTTGAAGTTTTGAGCTGTGGTCATTCTTCCAGATGGGAGGAACAAAACTGATTTGTTTCATTTGCAGTTATTTAGAGCTTAGCTGTTGATAGACATTCTTCCACCATAGAATTTTATGTTAAATTTACCTTATTTTGTAGAATTAAGCTCCCAAACATTGATCTGAGCTTGAACTAGGGTGATTTTATAAGAAGTTAGTCTGATCTAGTCTGATCTGAGTACCTGAAAGATGCAAAGCAAGTGTATCAGGGGAGATGGAAAAGAAGTTTCTTGGGTAAAGCTTTTGTACATCACTCAGAAAAAATCATATTTGCCCATGACCAGGTAACATGTTTTTTATGAGCTGAGTTAGTCACTTATAACACAGTTGGTGGTTACGTGTTCCGTGGTCCTCATTTTGCAGATGTCAGATCACATAGATTTGTGCATGGGATAGACAGGGGCTGTAGATCCTCAGAGAATCAGAACTAAGCAATATCAAATTAATTCTGCTAATGTGTTACTGCCCACTAATAAAAGGAAAGGGTATATGGTTTCTCATTCATACTTTGCCATAAACATTGTTTTTATTTTAGCTCCTGCTATCTTTCATTAGCACAGGGAATAGCATTTTCTTGCCATGAAGGAGGCAGAGAGGAGCCTAAGTGTTTGTCTAGAAGTTTAGTTGTAAATGGGTGGGATTTGCTAAGTCCAACCACAGCATATCCCTCCATTAATTTCTTCCCTGCTAGAGGATAAGTCCTAAAGGACTGAGTGAATTTATCTTGTTTTTGACATGTCTAGCTGTAGTAAAGGAATTTTACAATTTTTTTTTTAATTGAAGTGGAAACAACACTATCACTTTCCATGAGAATGTTACCATTTTTATTTAGTTGAGTAAGAGAATATGTTAACAAGACTGGTTTTAAGATTCCAAAACTGCCACTATAGCGTCATAAAAAAACCCCCAGTATTTGGGAACAAATGTATAACAGCCTAATTATAATTAATATTTCTAAGTGATTCCAGCAAAATTTTACTTTAAATAGGTTGGAAATTTTCCCATAGGAGGGTTTTTTTCCCCCTTTGAGCTAATTAACCTCCTGTAATTAAACAGTAAAACTTTCACCAGCCTGATGGGGACAGATTTCAATGACTGGAAAGAAAATTATAACATTACCTTCTTTTTGAGTATTTTATCCTCTGCTCATTTTGAATAGCAATAAGTGCTGTGTCAAAAAACTAGTGGATTAACAGTAACTAGCGACCTGCTAAGCTTACAGTCATGATTTCTTTACCAAGATCACATTTGAAATTTTGATCTTTTTATTTTTAATAGAAATTGGGATGTTCTTGAAATGGAGATGGTGGTGAATTTGGCTTTGCAAGGCTTTCAGGTTCTTGTTTCTAGCAAACTTAGATTTTAGTTTTGTTTTTCTTTACTGGCTGAGTATCTTGACTAATTTCTGAGGAGGAAAGTTGTGAATAGCAACAATACTTTTTTCTTAGATCTTGGAGTGTTGTTTGTTGAGCCTCTCTGTTTCCAGAGAGGTGTTACTGTGTAAACAAGTGATTTGAAGAGACGCATTTCTGTCTTATCCACCAGCAAACTGTCTGAAAGGCTTTTGGGACAGCCAGCACAGGACTGTGGTGACACCCAAACAGGATGTTTGTGCCAGAAGGGCTGAGAATATTAGAGTTATTTCAAAGCATAAGCAGTTCATAACTAGTGTTTTTCCATGTATGTTTAGTGTGCTTATGCACAGAGAGATGGAATTAATATAAGACAAAATCTGGATTTATTTGCTGCTCAGCCACTGATAAATCCCCTTCTGCTCACTGCTGACACCCTCTGTGAAGCTGATCCTGTGGTAGAAATACATTTGTGTTACATTAACTCTTTGTAGACCCATTGGCCACTAGTAATAGTACTTTGCTATGATGTCAGATAGCTGTTTAAAAAAGTAGGTAAGAGCACTTCCATTTCCTTTTTTTATTCAATCATTCATTATGGTAAATAATAAATCCAGGTAACTCTTAATTAAAAATGTAGTGATATGTTAGTGAAGATATCTTGGGAACTTTGTCTCAGTTGACTGCAAATTTTGACCTAGTAAAAAGTTTACGTGTATGTACCGTGTAGAAGGAAGAGTGGTTATGCCATGTTAGTTGTGCATAGACCCCAGGAAGGGATGATTGAGCTGTATGTGGGTGTTGAGCCTGTGGGGCTGACTCTGTTGGTTGGATTTACACTTGGGACAGTCTCAGCAGCCCCCGTCTCTGCTTCAGGGCCACCTTCTGCAGGGAGGTGTTCCTGTGCTCTCAAATGTAATGACTGCACACTCTGTCCTACTGACCTCATTGTGGCTGCAGTTTTCAGGGAGAAAGGGTTTTCCTCTTGGTAATTTTGATATGGGAAGGTGCAACCCCTAATTAGATTAGTGAGGGACTGTGGTGTACTCATAACCGTGGGGATATATGGTCTGTTGCTCAGCTCCACTAGAGGGGAACATGGGTAGGTGAAAAATGCCCTTGATTCTGGACCTCAAATAATGCACATCTGTTTGGGAAGAACAAATTATTTTAAAATAGAGATGAAGTATCCAGTGGCTGCTTTTAAGGATTTCTGTTCTGCGGAGGCTCATACCTCATATTACTATATAGCAGCTTTTTCTGAGCATATGGTAAATTATGGTTTTGCAAAGTAAACTGTCTTCACATCTGTGAACTGACCTGCATGGTTTTGCCTCACTTTGTTTATTGAGTGTATGTGTATATGTGGAGAGAAGGATGAGTGTTACTACAGGAAGTAAAAGCAATTAACTCCTCAGCTTCATTTTAAAAGAATCAAAACATATTTGCTTATCCCTTTTCACAGATGGCCACTAAATTGCTAATTAATAGGGAATATGTCTACAGACAGATCTTTCAGAGAGGCTGATGTTACATAAAACCAGGCTTAAAACCACTGTCCGGGTCTGTGGAAAGACATATATTTTCCATTTTTAATACCTAAGGAAAAAGAAGAAAAAGCTGTTCCAATTTTTAGTTTCTTCCCTGTGGAGGCATTTGCCTTGAAATAACAGTTTTTGTATATTTTGTTCAGTGATGCTGTCAGGTTGGGTTGTGTGTTGTTTATTTTTCCTAAGCACTAGCAGAAATCAGAGGACTTTCATTTGCAGTTTTTGTATCTGGGCACTGTGTCAGCAATTCCCTTGCCATGCAGGTGGAGTAGGGATGAACAGTTCTAAAAATGCTTTGCATTTTTGACTTTTAACATGCCTTAATACTGATGGATGCTTGCCTATTTGAAATTTGAGAAACTGAGCAAAACACATCAT